ATCAGGTGAAAACTATTTATCAGATCAACGCATTCAAAGGTTTAGAGCTCTACAGCTTTTGAATTATCAGAAATAAATCTATGCTTGTTCAAAGATATTCTCCGTATTCACAATGAGACTATTTAGCAAAAATAAAAACAAGAAGCTGCATCCTGTAAAATCATTGGTTTTAATAAATAATGGCGTCTTGTAAATTGACGATCTCCCTCTGGAGCTACCATGCACTTCATGAAAAGCTAAAAATGTTAGAAATGATAAGATAGCGTAGTTTTCTAAAGCATTATGAACGTTCCCGTTTTTGCTCTTGCAATCGCAAGAGTTGCAGTCTTGTTTATTAGCCAATGATGAACTAGTTTGATCCGAGTAATATCTTCACACAATGATGTCACAATCTTCCATGGCTTGTAGTCTCACTGAGATTGATAGGTGCCCTGTTGCCGAACTGCGAAGCACAATGGCGAGTCCATATCCTAGCAAGGCTTCACAAGCTACTAAATCTGACGCTTTCATTTGTAAAGTTACTAAGAAAATTGAGTGGTGAGCATAAATACGGCTTCAAGCGGGAATCGAACCCACATTTCATCCATACCGGAAACGCATGCTACTACCACTACGCCACCGAAGCACATTTGCCCGACCACTCATTCTTTAACATCTATATGTTAGCTATCAGACACCAACCCTTAACGGGTTCGGTCGGGTATGCGATTTCGCTTTATAAACCCACTTGAGCTGACAGCCATTTTAATAACTAATTAGTTACTCAGTTCTCTAAGGTGTATAGAAACATAATAACACTGCGAAAAATGCAGTAAAAATACTAGAAATCTCGAGCATTAGTTACTAGAATAGCTGTCAGCTTAAGTAGGTTTATAAAGCGAAATCGCATACCCGATCAAACCTGTTAAAGGATGGTGGCTGATAGCTAACATAGGGATGCTAAGAATGAGTGGTGGCGCAAATGTGACTCGGTGGTGTAATGGTAGAGCACGCATCACCAGATAGGTATTATGATGTTACATAGCCGCCCCCGGTATGGATAGGACGGCGGTTCGGTTCCCGCCTGAGGCCTTGTTTTTGCTCACCACTTAATTCTCTTAGATAAGATGCAACAAAATAAAACTGAAAAAAAGCACTAAATACTAAAATTCCGGGGTTACAACTCACTAAGAGTAAATGGATATCCGAAATCTTTTCCGTCATGGTGTCAACCACTCGCAGGATGGAATCTCGCTATAATTGAGAGCGGCCAGCAGCAGCCTTGCATGGTGACGACCTGATAGTAGCATCGGCTAATCGATATTCCATGTTACAAATAACTAGATTAGCAAAACTTTGCAGAGTCCCTGCACAGTGGGTGCTTCAGTCTACATCATACAATAGGAGAACCGGTGAGAGGTGACCAGCTCGTGGGCTCAATAGGGTCTCATTGGGAACGGATTAAAAGAGCACTCCCACTGCACGACGTAGAGTGCTTCTTGCTGCGATGACAAGATGCACGGTGGAGGATAGTCGGCGATAGGCTCGAATCACTTTGCGTAAGCGTATAAAACCTTTAGGAGGAAAGTCGAAAAGTTAAACTGATGATTCACTTAAGAAATTGAGGACAGAAGGCATAGTGAAGGCGACTATGAAGCAATAATGTCAATCCTAGGAGACAAATCGATTTGTCTATGCCGATAATTTTTGCCGCTCTGGATGAACTCAAAAAAACATGAATAAGTAGGATAAGAGTGTTTGAATATCATGAATGACATGGCACCTCAGATTGCTTTCCAAGTTTGACTAAGATTCAACACTGAAGGTATGTGACAGCATGTCTTTCGCTTCGAGTGTTTTCTCAAGATCACGTTCAAGCTTAAATATGCCAGATAATCACTTTTTTGAGCCACGCTTGTGGTCTGTTGCATAGAGCAGAGTTATAGAGCCCGATACACGTGTGTCGGCCTCGTAGCTCGTCAGTTGCACAGTGCCCCTCGCCTGTGACAATCCCTCTCGGGGCAAACCTCTTCATATAGAGGAATCAGAGGCGAACAAGTTATGCCACGTATAAAATGGAATAAACTTCAATCAGTTCAAGCTATTATAGTCTAAAATATTTTAATTACAGTTTAACGATATGTCCTAATGAATATTATGCAAAATCCACTCCTCAAAAGGCTGACGTCTTTGAGGTTGTGCATCAATCCTTTAGAGTCTAAATCTCACTTGTGGTTATGCATCAATCCTTCAGTGTGTTAATCTCAAGAACTTCACTTGTTTAGCCGACACCAGGAGTAACAGTAGCTGCTACTGTTGCGCGATTACTGAGTACCGGATAATGAGAACTAGCAAAACATTCAATAAGAATAGAGTCAACTTATCAAGAAATGGGATTGTCTTTCATTTTTGCATTGAAAATCATTATATTCTACTCATTCTTAAACTCTTTTATCAAGTCCCCTTGATGATGCAGTACGTATTCAATTTTAATTTGCGCCTTATTCTTCTCGCAATTTCGTTTTACTCAACTTTCTTCTACAACCCGGATTATGGTTTGAAAGTTATAGTAGGTTACAGAATGTTTTTTAGCACTATGGGCAGACACTTAGATACGGCTGTAGTGCATTGTTCAATACCAGTATCAAAGTAATGATCTACCGCAATACAATTTCGTTATTGCTCAAAGCCTATTTCATTGACCGGCCACTTCATTTTGAAGTCGAATAGCCTGCGGAAACTCAGGCTGGACCACGGTACCATGTCCACAGTATAGCCTTGTTGTTGCTCTACAGGATTATCTAGATCGCATTCCGAAGCAGCTTTTGTGTAGAAAAAATTTAAAGAATGCAACTGGCTCATGAGTTACCTGATCGACTTTTTGATTGCAAGCCTTCTTTCTGAGAGGAAGTCATTCAATCTTTGCCAGTGAATGGCTGTGTACCACATTTCACGATGGTGACTACATTATTGATTGATTGTTTTACTCAATGACAATAGGTAAAATAACAAAGGGGTCAAGACGCAAAAAAAAATTGTGGTACATCTCATTCAGAATAGTTTGTGTGTGTCGAGCATTGAAAGCTTTACCTCTTGCTCAATTTCATCGCCGTTTGAATGATCTTCTATATTTGAACGGTCCGTCTTCACCAAATGTGCGGATGGCAGTATATATTCCATTCGTCACTCTGCTGAGAGACAGTCGTTTATGACGGTGGTCTAATTTGAGTACGGCGGCTGCTGCCAGTGTCATACTGTAATCTGAAAAAATCGGGAGCTGCGAGTACAGCTCTTTGATTCTTTCAACGAACACGTCCGCCCAACGTGTAGGTGGTCATCCTCGAGGCGCGTACGTTCTCGTGGAATCCACTCTACAGTTCTTCTCGCCCATCTGTCGTCCGTTCTTCTCAGTGTATGACCAGCTCATCCGTGTTTTGCTATAGATGTATAGACCTCTGGGCCACGAAGATGAGATAGACTTCGAAGATCTGAGCTACGCAAGCTGGTCAGATGTTGTGTGCGCCAACTGAATTTGAGAAGACATCTTTCAAGCGCTCTGTGAGTTGTTCTTAGTAGCCTTGACGTGGTCAAAGTATCAGCCCACATTTCACCTGCATATCACAGCGCCGGGATGACCGTTGAATCGAAAAGATGGGGGCGGAGTCTTGGGTCCGTTACCTGGTCGGCGACTTCTCTGAGAGGCCCGGATGCGGCCCATGCTGTTCTCCTCCTTCTATCTACCTCCTTCTTGTTATTTTTCATGTTCAACAATTTCCCATGGTGTCCATAAGAGGTAATTTCTGCAATCAGAGAACCATCCATTTCGACTTGATCACCGTTGCACCATGGACTCTTCATGAACTGGGTCTTCATCCTATTAATCCGTAATCCGATCTTCTTTCCCGCTTCGTTTGATTCTTTTGACATCGTTTCTGCTTCTTCGGTACTTTTTGAGAAGATGACGATGTCGTCTGCAAAACGAAGATGAGGCGAGAATTTTCCGTCAATACGAGTGCCCTTCTCGTCCCAGTCGAGTGACTTGACTACCCACTGCAAAGCGGCGATGAACAACTTTGGCGATATTGCATAACCCTGTCAAACCCCTTTACCAATGGGTATAGCCAAAGGTCGATGAAAACGGTGTACTTTTGTGGTGCAGTTTCGATAGCAGTCTGACAAGGTTCTTATATAGGACGGATCAACTCCTTGATCAACGAATGTTGATGGGACTGCATTTGCTTCGACGCTATCAAACGCTTTTTTCATAGTCGACAAATGTTAGGATCAAAGGCGCGTGATATTCCCGACAGACTTCAACGACCAGTGATACGGTTTGCATGTGCTCCATGATGGAGAATCCTTTACGGAATCCTGCTTGTTCATTTAGCTGAGCCTTAATTTGCTTTCTCTTCTTGCAAAATTCTTGATGCGCGCTGAAGTATAATCATTATAAAGAGCTTGTTGAGCACACTCAGTAAGCAAGTTGGACGACAATTACGATGATCTCTTTGATCACCCTTTTTATGGAGGATGATTCTGCGCGACATCCTCCACTGATCTGAAAATTTTCCCCTCTGAAGGTAAGATGTCATATGTGTACCGAGTAATACATGTAGATTATGGCCCCCAATTCTTAGAAAGTCGGCGGTGATGATAGCGAGTGTGCTATTCTTCATGCTTTTTATCGCATGCACGTATTCCACAGGGTTAAACTGTGAGTGGTTTTTTTCAGTGGGGTTTTTGGTGTCCGGGACGGGGATTGTGGAACGAAAAAGGTTGATGTAAACTTATTCCGTTATCAATTTCATGTCATGGCGGAATGTCATAGCATTCCCATCGTCGTTCATCGCGACTACGAGCGGAACATTATGATCGCAAGGTTCCGACGACATTTCTTTAGACTAGGTCGCTTTTGTGCTACCTCCATCAGTTTCTTTTGCCTCTACATGTTGAGGTCCTCCTGCAGAGCTGATCTCCTATAATGTAAATATTCCTAATGGAAGGTCTGAAAACCTTCTCAAACGTCATTTTACATAAAGATTGAGGAGTTGCTAATTTGGGGCAATCCCTTAGAGTCTGAAGGTGCCTAATCGTGTTAAATCTAGGCATCATCATGATAACCTTACTTCATGATAAGTAAAACTATATAATTCAGGTTGTTATCAAACCGGCTTCTAACTGAGGCTACCCTTTGACGCTCGGTTGCAGACAAAGCTAGTCTTTGTATTGCAAGAGGAAATCTAGCAGAGCAAGAGCCACGATAGCAACACTGCTTAGCATTTGCTCCCTAGGGGGTTTTAAATTGTCACTCGCGAAACAATCAAAAGAGGGCTCAAATCGGACTGATCTTGCTAATATACTACAATGGAGATCTAGCTTTTTTTGTTCGAAAACAAGTGTAATGTATCACAACTGAAAAGATGAATGCTTTTTATTACAACCCGCATCTTGAATGGAAGGTATCCTAAAGAAACTCGCCCATAACGCCGATGTGTGAGTAGTAAATCTGTACGACACGTATGTTACAAATGAGTTGTTATTGATAATATTGAGAACGACATCAATCTCTGAAGCAGCTGAAACAACAAACAATCCAGCCAATGTTCTACATTGTATTATTTCGTGCAAACAAATGAAGGTATTAGC